TAAAGGGGTAGCAGCCCCCGATGGAGTAGGGGGGAGGGCGAGGCTCTATGTCGAACCAATGTAAGTTTATAAGAAACAAATAGGATAATTTGGAAACGTTAAACCAAATGGAACTAAGAACAAGATAATGATCCACCACGTTCGATTACTGGTGCTGGGAAGAACGGGTAAGAAACCCAGCACAGAACACCCATTATTCAGTCGGAATAAGCGATTCCACAGTCCCCGGGATGTTCGTACTCTATCATTACAGTATTAACTGTAGAAGTTATCCCTTCCCTGGGACCAAGGTAACGCAGGTATGTCTCGGCTGTGTTAAATACAGCCTGCGCCGCATGGGACAATACTGCGATCTCACCGGTCTGCCGGTTCCACAAATACCTAATGCCGTCCACAACCCTAGGCTCTACGTTTTGAGGAGCGAACCTAGAGGTGAGGTCGAACAGATATACTGGTTTTGCCAGCTTGTCGGAAATGACCGAAGCAAGTCCAAACTGTATGTCCAATGATTTGCGGACGAATTGAGATGCAGTTTTGGAGGAATTCAACTCCAACGAAAGTGCATCGATCATCTCGGCAAGCAAATCAGGATTAAAGCTAACACCACAGTCACCCATTCTCACAGATATTCACAGCACAAAGCAAGGATATACGTAGAACCAAAATGTCGTACCAAAAATTTTTTGGTGTCCGCGGACTTAGCACAGTTTGAATCAGTTTTGACAATTTTTTTTTTAATAATAACAAAAAAAAGTATGGGAATGAAGACAGCTAGAACAAGGGACCAATATGTTCTTACGAAGTTTTTGTGTAGGGAGGGTAGTAACGAAGATATAGGGGGTGAAGTACCCCTAACATGAAAAATAAAATTTTATAACAGTATGTAGTGAAATGGATTACAGGGATTATAAAGAGACATAAATGCTAGTAACAAAACGTTGTAGTATCACCAGGAAAACAGATATAAGGGTGAATTACCCCTAACCTAGATGGTATAATTTCATAAAAGTATGTAGTGAAATGGAATGGAGTGGTAATATAGAGATGGAAGATATAGGGTATATTACCCCTAACATTAACTAAGCCATTTCTGTAAAATACTTATAGAAATCGAGGGTATGGGTAATTGGAAGACATAAACAATAATACAACAAAAGCATAAAGTCATTAGAGACAATGATGTGGGTGTAAATGACGCGTTAAAGAAAATTTTAAAATTTTTAAAATAAGTTTATAAACATGAAATTGATGTAATAATAATAAGAATGCATAGATGTTGTAAACTCTTTTATTGGGTTTGGGTTTATGGTCTTACGGCTAACAAATAGATAGTTAATGGTTCTAGTGTTTTTATTTTTTATTTATATGTTTCACATAAACCTTAAAGCCTACAACCTTACAAATAAAATCTTAGAGATAATTCCTTAAAACTAAAATGCATAACGATCCATCATGATTAAGGACTGGTATACCCTGAATCTGTGGATGGATCATCGAGATCCCATACGAGATTGTCAATCCGAACTGCTTCTGGAATGTCAACCTCGAGTGGTTCGTCAAGAGGAGCAAGGTTGTTATGGAGATCTTCAATCTCCAATTCACCTTCCGACTCACTCTCTGACGAAGGTGCCTCCTCCGCATCTTCACCCTCAGTTTCCTCGCCAGACTCGATGTCGGCTACGTCTGCTAACAGAGCATTACCGACATCGGGTGCAACACCTCCCGCATTGGATAAAATCAATGTGGATTCTGTGCTGTCAAAACTGAGCGGACTAGCCCAGCCATCTTCATAATAAATCCATAATAAACCAAATAAAGTCATTACTTCTTCGATATTTATAGCACCTACATCTCGCTATCGAGAATATTTACTTCGCATTTTATCCAAATATGTGTTTGTGTGTTGAACTATTTCGGCGACTGTTTCGTAAGAAAAAAACAAACTCCAACAGTCACTTGGCGTATTTCGATTTTTAGCACTTCGCTTGACCCCTGGGAAATGCGTAATCAAATTATGTTTTCGTGTACGACTTGTTCCTCGTTGTGGATGGTTACCCCATTTCGTTTTACCGTCCTTTCCAAGATAAAATAATGTGCTATTGGAAGAATTCACGTCTGTGGCATTGGATTCATCGGGTATTTCGACCTCCATGCATTGTTCGGTATAACTTCCGTCATTGCCACTGACCTCACTGAGCCTAATGAATAAAAACTAAGCAATTGCTTTAACCCTCAACTGGTGTCGTGATTTATTCTATCGTTAACTGCGTCCTGGGGTCTACTGGACCCCATTTTTTTGGTCATTTTTTTTTTGAAAATAAAAAAGGATATGTTATGTTCTTATTTTGTTTCAATGTGTGATCATTTAAGCTGCAATAAAATCATGCAAGCCCATTATTTATTTTTATTAATAGTGGAAAATGCTAAAAAGTGTAACATAATGTATTTTTCATGGGTTTTTGACACAAGAACATAAGATTTTACAGAAAAAATATAAAAATTGAATGATTATTTTTATATTGATTTTTTCGTTTTATATACAGAACAGACAACTAAAACAAATAAACTTTTTAACTAAAATATATTATTTTCAACAAAACTGTGGACTATTTACAACTTACATATTTCTAAATACAATTCTTGCAAACATAGGCCCTGCAGTCGCCGCACATGGGTCGAGAACATTTGCTGCACGACATTTTTGTTTTTTTGTCATTCTTCCGATCACAAATACCACATCTCTTTCGTTTCTGGCCCTGATTGCTTAATTCTCCCCTCTCTTCTTGAGGTAAAGCCTTGTTTAGTACTCTGCTGATACCTATACGAAGCTCCCTAGGTAATCGAAAATTGTATAATCTTACATTGAGATATGGTTCTGCAAGTTGTCTTGCAAGAATTTTGTAAAAGGCTTTTCTCTCTAGCGCTTGGTTGTTTTTATAACATCCATGTAAAATGTGTGCATTGACACCCGCAATATTCAATATTGTGAAAAAAATAGTCATTGGCCATCGCCTAGTTCGCCGATTTGTAGAGTATGTGGTACATTTTTGATCTAGTGCATCCACACCGCCTTTTGTTTGATTATAGAAGGAAATTATTTCGGGTTTACCAGATTCTTTGTCCTCACATTCGGTGTGGTGCATTGATGATATTAGCACAACTGCCTTCCCTTTTTTTGGGACGTAGGAGACGATAGTGAAGTCGTTTGTAAAACCATAAATGGAAGATCCTTCAGTTCTTCTCCGATTTGGAAGGAACTGCACAGGTATCTCCTTTTTGTTTCGCTTAAGCGTGCCAACATAGGTGAGTCCTCTTTTTTTTAATTCATTCATGACTTCTATGGATGAAAACCAATTGTCTGCTGTGACATTTCGGTTTGAATTAGCAATCTGACGACACAGTCTCAACACAGATTGTGTTGGTTTCATGAAACGTCTCTCCTCATTCGTTAGAGAAACACCATCACTATCCTTACCACTGTAAATATAACCATTATAGAAATAGTGGGTCCGTGCGTCTGTTAAGGCCATAATTTTTAGTCCATATTTCCGAGGTTTATTAGGTATGTACATGCGGAATCTACATCTGCCGCGAAATCCTATCAGCATTTCGTCAATACAACACAATTCTCCTATCGAATAGCAGTCTTGGCAATTTTTCACAAAACGCTCAAATATCCAAGAGACTGCCGCAGTTCGATCATAAGCTTTACGTGCTTCTCTATCATCTGCATTGTCAAACCTAAAACAAAAGCAATTGGATAAGTCTAAAAATATTCATTTACACTGCTTAGTCAATAAACCTTAGACATGCGAGCAACACATATACTCTTTTCAATGACATAATGGACCTGAATATGTCTCGTCCCGTTCCATCTGTTGCAAACATTTCTTGAAAGTCTTCATCATTTGACTTGAAAACTGCAGCGTAATACAATATAGCGAGAAACGCTCTAAATTCTTCCTTTGTTAGTTCTCTCAGTTCCGTTCGATCAGCGTTACTAAATTTATCTTGGAATATCAATATCTTTTCATTTGTCCGCAGAATTATTTCATTTTCCATGTCTTCTGTGAAAAGATAGCTCCATATTTTTAACGGATCAGCGACATCACCACATTTTGCAGGTCCTTTCAGCCCCGGAAGAACTTTCACCAGATTGTGTTTTTTTGTTCTGATATTCAAATTTGGGTTGGCCGGAACAGCAGACCACTTGTATCGATTTTTACCAAAATAAAACGTTCCGTTCGTCGTTTCCATCTCCTCTTCTTCTTCACCATTAGAATGACTTTTCTGTTGTTCAGCATTGTCCCCCTGATCTTCCATCTCAGAATCAGAGTTATGGTCACTCTCTGGGGAAAAATCTTCGTCTTTGTAGTCCTCATAGTCACTACACTCACTTTCAAGTTCCTCATACCACTGTCGTAGAGTTTCCTCAAACTTAGAGTCCCCAAAACGCACGCTTTTGGAAGAACCCGCCATTTTAAAAATAATACACTATTAGCGTCGTGGTGCCACACAGACCCCAAATGAACTTTACCGCTCGCTGTCCAGAGCAATACTAAAGCAAAGTTGACGTGCGCGCCGGCGTGGCTTATGAGTGCACTAACTTGAAGGTAGATGGCGCGGCCAGGCTTGAATGCTGAATTTGCAAGTTTTACATGGAGTTAAAAAGTTCTGGGGGTACACCAGACCCCACGACGCCACTTGAGGGTTAAGCAATTACTTTTTGGCAAAAGCAATTGGTTAACTAGCAATTGCTGTAAGGAAAAGCAATTGCTAAATTTTGCAATGAATAATATTTTTAAGCAAATGCTGCATTTCCCGAATCTTAAAAGCAATTGCTTATATAATATGTATGTGTTGAACGCGTTTAGACTTGCAAGTATGTTTAGGAGTCGATACGCGCATTTATTTCAGTTTAGTTCGAAGTTTCTTACATTCGGCATAACAGTAGGTGGGATTAGGAACATATTTTTCGGTAAAAAATAAAAAAGGCTGATTCAAGTGGAAGTGACGAAATCCATGATGAGGAAGAAATGGATAAGCAGATAAGCGGGTTGATTGTTTTGAGGTAACTCCAAAATGTTTGCGCCATTAACTCTTCTCTCTTCCTCCAATTCTTCTTCCAAATTAAATAGATGTTCAGGATTGTCCCCTTTGAGAATGCATATATTACGCAATACACATGCCGATACAATCAATAAACATATCAAATCTAACCTTACAGTTTCCATAAACTTAAGCCTACGAAACCTCCCTTTCAGTAGGGCAAATGCATTTTCAATTGCTGCTCTTGTTTGTGATAATTTTAAATTAAAATTTTTTTGTCTATTTGTCAGATTCCCATGATCTTTAAAACCAACTAGAAGGCAATACCTTAACTGATAGGCCAAGTCACCAAGCATGTGACTGTCGGCAGGAAAAGTTATATCTCCATTTTCCATTCCTGTGTACAAATCTGACTTTTCAAAGAGCCTATTATCATGTATTGATCCTGGCTCGCCCGCATAAACATGGGTAAATAATCTTTTATTATCACAAACACCTTGCAATAACACAGAATGAAAACTTTTTCTGTTGCAGTAAGAGTTTGGATAATTTTTTGGTGGCAATATTTTAATATGACTCCCATCAATACATCCTAGAACACCTAAAATGAAAGATATACTAAATATGACTAACTACTTATTATACAGAATGATCATTATAACTTTGGCCAAACTTGTAGAGTAGATAGGATTTTGAGCCATTATGATGGTCTTTCATATAGTGGTGCTATATACAATAATTATAGACACAAAGACAAATGGTTCCATTCATTATTCTTGTCTCAGTTTTTCTTTTTTAGTGCAATCTCTGAACATTGTATACTTTTGTCATTAGGGTTGATAGAACCTATAAAATTCACAAATGGAAAAGAAACAGATTGTGGACTTTCCAAGTGTGACAATTCAATTACATTCCTGTAAAACATAATTTGTTTTAACATGATTCTTTAGAAATAAACATTTTTTATTTAAAGTTCTATCAACCTGAATAACAAAAAAATAACAACCTAAATAACATAAAAATTCACAAATATACACAAAAAAGTATTATTTATTTTTTTATTGTTTTATGTCATGTTGTCCAGGCAAGCAAAGAAGTTTTTCAGGTCTTATGGTTCAACATTCATTGTCTCAAAATATTGCCCTATAAGCTGGGCCAAAGTTACTGTGAATAAACAAAATAAGAAAAATATAAGTATTGAAAAACACATTTGAACTTCACTTTTAAATACATATTATGTCTTACCTTTAAATCCGCTAATTTCTTGAAAACATCTGATAATTCCTAATGCGTTTTCTCCAGTAGGCCAGGCTATTATGCCAAAATGCTGATTTAATGCTAGGATAGAATGGCAGGTCCTATAAAGGACATCCCAACATGTAGATTTAGAGATACCAAATCTATCCCCCACAGAACTAAAATTATGGGCTAGATCAATAATAAACAAAAGCATAGTATAATCGTGTTGAATGAGGATTGGTCAATCCTCAATCAGCGATAATATAGTCATCATAATTTATCATTTATTTATCAAACTAAAAATTATAAAACCTTTTCTTTTATAGTTCTGCAGTAGGATTTTTCCTGAACTTTTTAAACTATGTATATGTATAAATATTTAGTTTAACTTCTATATTGGAAATGATAAATTTTAATGTCTATATAGAAACTTTTTTTTATCATCGCTTGTGAATTACCTACCCTTGTACCTACCGAAAGCTTTTCAAATTGGACAAGCACCATAGAGCAATCATAGCCTGTTTTTCCATTGGAACAGGAAACCGTCCTGGACCATCAGGCCTATTATGAAATACCACCGACAGCTTTTCAAGCAAGTCCTCAAAAGTAGTTGGGGACATCCTAAAATGTTGTTGAAACTGCCTGTCAGAAAACTGAGGAACAGTTACCTCAGCAAAGTTCTCAATTTTTTCCAGAATTGTTGCCTGTTTGTGGTTGCCCTCATCCTCATCTTCCTCATCAAATATAAAATGGCCATTAACCACAGTTAAGATTGCCAGTTTGACCACAGCTCTTAATTCACCCATTTCAAATGTTTTTAGCTACAAATAAAAAAAAAACATGTGGAAAAGGGCAAGAATGATTCACTTTAATTTTACCTTTTAGCTCTCAAACAAACAAAGTAAAAATATAGTAAACTCAAAAACTATAATGGATGTAATACTTACCAGAGGAAATAAGTCACTTATATCCTAAATATTACCAATTCTTATTTACGCAGCAGGTTAATTCGCAAGAAAAAAAATACAAGAAAACGGTAAAAGAAAACTCAGTAAAATAGCAAGCAGGCTCCCCAAAGGTAGCTAAAGCTAACCCAATTGACCTATGTACTCAAGGCAGTAAACGTAATACCTAGAAATCTAATGGTGGCTTCTCACTACGCGTGCTACTACGCGTCGCGCCGCACCACGCGCAAGAACACGCCACGCGACACGCCGCGCCACCCGTTTGTGCGGCGCGGCGCGGCGCGTGCCTTCTGGCTTTACACCTCAGTTTGATTGTGAGTCGAATTGCCACCTCCAGCCATGGAGCAATGCCACTGAAGAAGACGGCATGGCTGTTGCATCAGCCGTTTTTGTCTTATTTTGTGGATATCGTTTACTTAATAAAATTAACAGAAACAAGAAGAGGAGACGCTGGTGGATGTCAACGTTCAATAAGAGCCGGTCAAGGTAATCATTGTTTGTATTTTGAGATAATTACATAGGTACGTAATTTTTAAGAATCCTATCAATATATTTGATGGTATCTATTGGTAAGTTTGGCGCGTTTTAAAATGAAACTTTGCTGCCGGAAAATTTAGTAAAAATTATTGTATTTTTGTTTCAGATACAATGGATCAGATATGCTATCGGATTTTGTTAAAGAACCGAGCAGAAAATTTGAGAACTTCTGTAGAATGGCACCAGAAGATTACAACTATCTAATGAATAAAATAGGCCCTATCATTGCAAAACAAGATACCCATATGAGAAAATGTATTCCAGTACAAGAACGGTTTGCAATTGCTCTCAGATTTTTAGCAACCGGAGATAGTTACACAAGCCTTTCATATCTTTTCAAAGTATCTATCCAAACAGTTTCAAGTTGTGTCACGGACGTTTGTAAAGCATTGATAAAAGAACTATCACAAGAAATAAAAGTAAGTAGTAGAATTAAGCATTTATTTTTTTCAAATCGTAAACAAATAGAAATTGACATCATCCATTTAAACTAAATTACTACCCTCCTCTTCATAGAAATCTTTTAATAGACTTTGCGAAGCTGATGTTTCGACTTGCGACAGCTGTGGAGATGGATAGTTTGGGGATGGCTGTGGAGAAGATAATGAATGATAGGTTGGGGATGGCTGTGAAGAAGGCGATGGATGATAGGTTGGGGATGGCTGTGGAGAAGGCGATGGATGATAGTTTGGGGATGACTGTGAAGAAGGCGATGGATGTAGGTTGGGGATTGCTGTGGAGAAGGCGATGGATGATAGTTTGGGGATGACTGTGAAGAAGGCGATGGATGATAGGTTGGGGATTGCTGTGGAGAAGGATATGGATGGTAGGATGTGGATGGCTGATAGTAGAGATTGCCGGAATGTCCAAAATTCGTGGGCTGTGGTGGGTTGATTAGTATTTGTGCATGTGGGTTTGACGATAGTTCTTTTTGCTTCAGATTGAAAATCAATCTATCAATTTCCAACATCGCTATTTCACGTGTATTTTCTGGTAAGCCTCTCAATTTTTTGCACAATAATTGTGTGTATAATGAACATTCATCTTGCGGGATTTGGGGTTTTTGAGTCATTTGTTTTATATAGTCGTATGCTTCGTTCATTTTATTTTCTATATCAATATTTTTAGCACGTTTTTTAGGAAGAGGTTTTGGTCTTTTAAATTGAACTGATTCTTCATCATCCTGTTTACTATCTTCAGAGGCATCTAAATCACGGTTATCTTCTATTTCTTCTATGTCGTCAGTGACCTAAAAATAAGAAATATTCATGATAATTTACAATATTTCTATTTGTTTTAGCTGCCACGGACATCATCTGACTGGTTAAGGATAGAGAAAGGATTCCGCAGAACTTGGAATTTTCCTCACTGCTTAGGAGCTATCGACGGAAAACATGTGCTAATACAAAGTCCTATTCATAGTGGATCTGAGTTTATCAACTATCACAAAACATTCAGTGTTGTATTAATGGCTTTAGTCGACGCGGATTACAATTTTATTTTTGTGGATTGTGGGTGCCAGGGCCGAATAAGCGATGGTGGTGTATACAGAAACACCAACTTATATAAACAAATCTGTAGAAAGGAATTGGGTTTTCCACCGCCAGACTGCTTACCGCTGAAAGTAACACCTCTACCTTACGTATTTGTTGCAGACAGTGCATTTGCTCTAACGGAAAATATGATGAAACCTTACGCTGGAACTCATAATAAGGGATCTAAAGAACGCGTGTTTAATTACCGCCTTTCACGAGCTCGACGGATTGTTGAAAATGTCTTTGGCATTATGTCTGCGGTGTTTAGAGTACTAAGAAAACCCATGCTTTTACAACCAGATATTGTAACTGATATTGTGATGACATGTGCATTGTTACACAATTTTTTGAGACGGTCTAAAAGGTCTAGACTTATATATACCCCTCCTGGATCCTTTGATACCGAAAATGATGATGGCGAGATTCAGCCCGGTTCTTGGCGTGATGACCAAAATGGAGTTGCTTCCCTACTACCACTCCAAAATCGGCCAAGAAGAGCACCTCTTTCCGCCAAGAATATAAGAGACCAGCTTGCAGAATATTTTATAACAAACGGTGCGGTTGCCTGGCAAAATAATTATTAATTTTTTAAGTAAATAAAGTACTTACCTCAGAATCCTTCGTTTTCTTTGGAGTATACACATCATTCAAAAATTGGGCCATCACATTATAAAATGGCCAGTCAGGCTTATAGATTTCATCAGCACCGCTGCCAGACTTTATTGATTGGCAAACTTTACTTCTTAATTTTCTATAGGTTCCCATTAAAGAATCCCTTTTCTTTTTAATTTCTTGTAACGGTATGGTACCACCTTTTAAATTCTGTTTAATTCGCAGCCAGGCATCATGCTGGTCGTTTTTGTTTTTATGCTCCGCATTTTTCGAATTCCACAGAGAGGGTTCGCCTTCATACAAAGTTAAAAATTCGGCGATCGTTTCATTCGGCCACTCCATATTCACCACAGTACCTCAACGTAGGACGAGTCAAAATGAAATGAACGAGTTCAATCGTGTTCGTCTGTCTGGGTAGGTACACGCCGCGCCGCGCCTTTGAAGTTACCGACTTTTAGCGGATAGGTCGCGCCACGCCGCGCCTGCCCGCGCCAAGCTCTTCAAACTGCGCGAGGCGCGTGCCGGCGCGGCGTGGCGCGGGTCAACACGCGCAGTGAGAAGCCGGCATAAGGCCTTGCTATGTACTAAGAGTACTAACCAAAACAAAAACAAACAAATCTCTGTCAGTACTTGTCAAATGTCAAATTTTAATCTGTTGGGTCTGGAGCGTTCTTTTTTTCCATAGTGGTGGGGGAAGTCTAAAATCACGTGATTAAAAATCCGTCTGATCTGAGATTTCTTTTCCGAACGCGACTAATGGTACCCATTCACGTACAGGCGGACTGCAGGCAATGGACTGAAATTTGACCTGCAGTCGTGGCCTGCGATATAGACCATACACGTTCAGTTGTATACAAACGATGCGGCCTGCAGGCCATCGCCTGACAGTCCTAGAACTGCAGGTCGCCTCATTATTTGCCATACATCCACAGTCCGTCGCAAAAGTTTCGCAGTTCTTGCTTGTAGTGTGTAGACAAAAGAACAATAAAGCAGTGGTAAAATGTTAAGAAAAAAGAAACTTATTTTGTTACTTTTGATTTTGCTATTAACTAATGAACGCGGAAAAAATGGCAAACGTTTTTGGGTGAAGGAATGGTTAAGAGATCGTGAAAATTTATCTCATATGAAACTCCTGAAGCGATTGAAAGATTCCAGCAGCGAAGATTTTAAAAATTATCTTAGGATGGACGAGGCTTCTTTCAGAAAATTATTAACTTTAGTTAAACCCCACATAAAACGACAGAATACAGTAATGAGAAAAGCCATTAGTGCTGAAGAAAGGTTAATAGTGACTTTGCGGTATCTGGCAACTGGACGTACATTTGAGGATTTGAAATTTTCTGCCATTATTTCTCCCCAAGCACTAGGAAAAATTATACCAGAAACCTGCGAATGGATTTACAAGGCGTTGAAAAAGGAATATATGAAGGTAAGTTCATAAAATTTTGGAATACAGTGCATAATATTTTAGAAAGAAATGGAATAGTTGAAGGAGATTGAAAGCCAAAATTTTTAGAAGCGTACATTTATAAAAGTACCTAGGTATTTATTTTTTAACCTAAATACCTCGCTAATATTCTTATTAAAAATTATGTATTTTATGCTTGCATTCCAAAATTTTCGCTTTTGTCGTAATTTGAAGTAATTTTTTATGTTTTAGTAAAATTTCAAAATAATATTTCAACTACGTATTTTATTGAAAAATGTATCCTTACATAAAAACTTAAAGGTGAACAACTTGTGTTATAGAAACGAATTTTAAATAAACTTTTGATTTCTATTGTCAAAAACATAGACAATAGGTAATAATGAACAAGTCGACAAGTAAAAACAAAACTTTAAGTATGTAGTCATTGAAGTTTCGTAAATTCATCGATTAAAAACCAGCAATTCAGTTAAAGATCCTTTAAGTTTCGACGTGTTGCCGCTTTCCTCCATTGTTTCAGGGGTAGTTTTATCAAGAGGTCTTATATAGTTTATATTTATGTCGAGGTTTTCTCCTTCTGCATTTGTGTACTGTGTTTCAGAAATAGTTGCTGAGGGTCGGGAAAGAGTGACATTTTGTTGCTGATTGTAAGTTGATGTGTGTTGCGAAGAAGTGAAAGTTTGTTGTTGCTGATTTGTTAATATGGGTTGGAAAGGAGAAGGAGTTAAAGGTTGTGGCTGTTGATTGTATTGAAGTTGCATTGGCAACATAGTATTATAATGAGATGAAACGCTATGTGCCGAATTTATACATATATGAGATTCCTCGCATAATTTCTTTTGAACACCAAGGAAGAGAAGACGGTGAAGTAATAATTCAGCATACATTTTCTGGTCGCTGTCCATTCGGCGCAGTTTATGGGCCACATTTTCTCCAATACTGTCACATTCATCATTTTCTCTGTCCAACTTAGCGCAAATCCTTTGGATACTTTCTTCCTGTCCATACTTCTTTCTTTTTGCACTATTAGAAGATCTGGAAGTTGATGGACGTGAATAGGTTGATGACTGATGCGGTGTTTGTG